TATTAACTCCATTTGTATTTTATAAAACTTTCGTTGCTTCCGAAGCTCGGAACTTTGCTTCAGTACGCCGGTGTTTTACCAATACGCCACCAATGCCATGGAAAGTTTTTAACTTTGATCTTCCTCTTATGTTACATCTCGCTATATAATTTCATAAAAATCTCAATACAAAAATTCTTGTGGTTTGAACCCCGGACCTTTCATTTACAACGCCGGTGCCTTACCTCTTGGCCACCTGAACATCTATGCTTCAACCTTCTGCGATCCTCCTCATATTCTACCACTTGGTTTATAGCTGCAAAGAAATCGTACTTATTTATTCATTTTTCAATTTCTATTGACAAAAGACACCGTGGTCTCGAACCCGGTACCTTCCCAATACTACGCCCATGTCTTACCCACGTACCACCAGATCTATACACATTTGTTACCTTCGACGTCCTCATATAGTACGACTAGCTCCCTACATGCACAAATTTCTTAACTTTCTTTTTCACAAAAAGATTCGTGTCTTCGAACCACGTATCTTCTATACCAGGTATCTCCAAACTTTTCGAACCGCGGGCCACAGTAGGCAATTCAGCACTTTCAACGGGCCGGATAAAGTGAGAAATCAATAACTCTAGGTATATGAGATTCATTGAAAGCACAGAATTTCATAAAGTAAATACAAAGTACGTGAGAATAAATTATCGTATATTAATGACAACAGACACTAGCAGTAAATATCATATTTTCATCAGAAATTATAATAAAACAATGTGAATGGTGGAACTCTCTTTGCATTCTAAAAAAATGATTAAATTGAGGTTCAAATTTTGAAACGCTAATCACAAGTAGCGACTTTAATGTTCATGGGATAAATTTGCCCTGTATTTCGACTTGATGTAATTCATCTGGGAAAAGGTTTATTCAGACAGATATGTCGTCCCAAAAAATGGGGATAAATTTAGAAGCAAATTTCTCAGGGTTCAGAAATTTATAAAATTCGATCATATTTCCTTCCTTGTATTTGTCTTTAATATGATAATTTTCCTGAAATTCAATAATTTCCATTTGAATTTGACTTGGGACATCTGCAGCATCACAGTCAAACGGATTTTGAAACAATCTAATTCCCTGAGCACTGTAAAAAATCAGCAAATCGCTTCCGAAATTGTTCTTTCAAATCTGAAATGACTAAATTTGCAAACGAGGAAGGAAATTCTGCTTCACCCTTTTTATGCAACTCTGCTCAGTATAGCATATGAACAAAGTTACAATCTTTCACTTGGCTTTCCAGAAGTATCAGCTTTACTCTGAATGCCTTGATAAGTGCAAATAAATCACAGACTAATTTATTTTCACCCTGCAACTTTAAATTCAAATGGCTCATATGGTTCACCAGATCAGCAAATAATGCTAATTTCTAAAGCCACTCGGTAGCTGATAAAAGTGGTTCGTGATGGTTTTTCTCGATAAGAAATATATCAATTTCATTCCTGAGCTGAAAGAAGCGGAAAGAACCTTTCCACAGCTAGGCCATCGAACTGCAGTATAATATGTCAGGTCAATAAGCTCGGAATCACATTTACCAGTACTCATTGGAAAATTAGTTCAATTGGAGTATTTCTGCACAATTCTTTCGAGGGCCGGATGTGGCCCGCGCGCCGTAGTTGGGAAACCCTTGTTCTAAACCATACGCCAGTGCAAGCTCCACCGCCGCAAAATTTAAGCCTTGTGTTTTGTTGGGCTTCGCCTTATCCAGTATTCCGAATATTTTCATTTTCACGATCTTCAGTGGCTTCTGGTTGCTGGCCGCTCTGTGCGTTGGGATATTGCTGTTGTTGCTTAGAACTTTGTTCTCTAAGCGCTGCACTTTCGAAACGTGGGTATTTGCCGCAAATCGCAAGGCAAGCATGCGACATTGCAGGCATATTATTATTATTATTATTATTATTATTATTATTATTATTATTATTATTATTAT